CAACAACACTGTGGATGCTGCTGATGTTTCTCTTTCTTTTAAATGAATACAAATTCATTCATGTAGGTGCTGGATGGTGGAAATGATTAAAGCAGCACAAGACAAGAGCAGCTACTACGGAGGGAATATAAAGCAAACTGAGCAGTAAAGATACTAGCAACCACTATTGTGGAAGCTAAAAGGTTAAATAAATAAATAAATACATTTTCAGACTCCACCAGAGACCCCAACACACCCCAAGTATCACTGGTGACTTGCCCCAGTCTGTGTCAATGCAGTGCACCCCCATGAAATCATATAACACAGCAGATAAAACTAAACAGAGTTGGGACCAGTTCATCACAAAAACAATCGTTTAATGAATCATTTTAAAACAAGGCTGTTTAAGGTTGTATTAGGCAAACTCAAATATTTAATGGTCGTTAATGGCACCTCGGGGAAGGTCAGAGTGTCACCGAGACTGTAACAAATAATAAATGAAGCTCTGTGGATATCAAAAGAACATTTCACGGTGAATCTGATACTCTGGGCAGCAGCTGTTAATGTTGCCATAGACCAAAGCCAGGGCTGTGAGCTTACCGCTTTCAGACGTCGGGCAATTTTTAATCAGTGCTGTCTGAAAAAAAAACAACAGTTTTTTTGAATTGAGTGAATTCAGGATGAACTGACTCCAACATCAGTCTCATCACACAGCTTCAGATAACGTAGCTATGGAGCACACAGGACTGCGATCACACAACACACTCATGCAGTAATGAAGCTGTTAATAATTCTCCCAGATTTGGTCTGAATACAAAACGAAGAACGTCAAGAGACGTTTTCACCTGTGGTCTCAGGTGAGCCGAGAATGGTCTCTGCAGCGCATTAATTACACAGGATGTGAGGACAAGTGGTCAACAGTCACTAAGCTTAGGTGTGCAGTTCATTAAGTGCAGTTTGCAGACACAAATCAAACATGCAAAGTGTCCGTAGCCTCATTTGTCTGTGGCTGCTACAGGTTGTTGTTTAACGAGAGGACTACGCTGTGGTCAGACCTTCCAGTGCAGAGCACAGAGCAGCTCTAGCATCTTCTCAGGTGGGACAACGGACAAACTATTGATACAGTAGAATACCTTTGGCAAGTATGTATTCCAACAGCTATCAATACCCAACCCACAGAAGCGTTCACAGGAACACGTCGGGGACTGACATTTCTATTCACCCGACACAGCGCTTCACAGTACAAATGGATCCTGCCAAAGAAACCCAAGAGTGTCTCCAAGCAAAGACGTGGGAAACCTTTCAGTGGTCAAGTCAG